GCGGCCCGGCTGCCGGTCGCCGCCGACGGCGCGCTTCCGTGGTTCTGACACCCGGCCCCTGGCCAGTGGGATCCTTGGCCCGCGGCCGCCTCGTGCCACGCCCTGGCCCAAGCGCTCGGTGCAGCACGCCAATGCCGAGCATGCGGCCGGCTGCTTGGTGGTCTGCGTCGAGCAGCTGGCCATCCTCGGCCACAACCAAACCTTGGCGTTCCACCCGCTGGCACAGATGACCCTGGCGTCGTTGATGATCTTGGCGCCACAGCGCCTCGATGATGCTCCCCTGGCCTTTTCACCACCGGGCGTCGGCCCGGAGGGGAGGGAAAACTTCTTCCAGCCCCCCATCAAGATTGTCCTGACCCAGCCCTTCTCGCTGGTCGAGCCGCGGCCATCCGGGAATCCGGAGGCCGACTCGCAGGCCGGCATCAGGGGCCGCCGCCGGCCGGGTGCCGAGGACCCCACAGGGGCCGGTGCCAACATCGGCCTGGCGATGGACTTCTTCGAGCGTCAGTTGGGGCCGCTCGATGCTCAGGCCAATCTCCTGGGCGACCTGCTGCTGGAAAGCGGATCCGATGACGAGGATGCCGGGAATAACCTCCTCCAGGCGCACATTGCTCGGTTCCTCCAGCAGCATGGCCAGGTCCCCATGTCCGAGGATGAGGATGATGAGGAGGATGATCCTGCCACTGGGAGCGACCCTCATGAGCACATGTTTGCCTCTTCCGGCAGCGAAGATGAGGATGGCGCCTTTTCCGATCGCTCGGCATACATGTTCTCCGGTGAGGAGGACACCGATGACGATGATGATGACGACGACGATGACGATAGCGAGGAGGATGCCGATGAGCCGGAGCAAGACGAGGAGGCCGACGATCGCGAGGCTCACGGCACCTTCATGCATCATGAGTTCCAGTCGGATGATGGGTCCGGTTCCGAGGACTCCGGCTCCGGGTCGGAGGAGGAGGACACCGGCGCCGGGGCTGGGCTGGAGGATCGCATCAACCGCGGCCTGGACCAGTTCCTCAGTCGCCTGTCGAACTCCTTCCGTCAGGGGGTGTCCCCCGGCCATGAGGATGGCGATGGTGCTGGCGACGGTGACAGCGATGCCACGGCGGCCCAGGGGGGGTCTCGCTCGCCTCCTCAGGACGATCGGTCCTCGGGCAGCATCCCCGAGCACTACATCCTGCCCTACCAATTGGTGTCTTCCTTCCTGCACGTGGGCGATCTGTCCCTGCGTGCGGTGGCCCAATTCTTCCGTCAACACCGCGAGGACTTCACCACGGCCTTCCGCGCGGCGGATATGGCTGACATGCTGATGGCCAGCATGGCCAACTCCGCGGGCCCGGGGGCGGCCGCCTCCGCCTCCACGATGTCCATGGGAGGGGCTGCCGCCGGCGCGAGCACGGCTTCTTCCTCGACGGCCGCCATGTCGGCCGGGAGTGGGGCCACCCCCGCCGGCGCCGGCCCGCTGGCGATCTACCACGAGTGGGAGCTCCGGGAGTTTGCCAACCTCGATGACACGCCGGTCTCCCCCAACAACACCTCCACCTACATGTTCTCCTTCTCCCTGCGGCTGCCCTTCGTCGATGAGAATGGCGAAATGGCCAGTCGGTACAGCAGTTCCAAGCATGTGGTGTCGACCAAGCACCTGGCCGCCATCCGGGCCAGGTGGCTGCACCATCGCCTTACCCACCAGGCCCTCTCCTCGGCCGGGGAGTAAAGTATGTGCATTCTAGAATCGCATCCCCATGTGCATTGATCATGTGCCAATAAACAAGTCACGCCCAACCATGGCCCTGAGAAGAGTGCGCGATCTGCACGCCGCGCATGAGCGAAGGTCCTGCCCCCCCCCCCCCCCCCCCCC